ATCTGTTCATTTTTATTCCTTTTTTCTGAATATATATTGCAAAGTTTATAAGAAGCAATGAGGCCAGTTGGTCTCAATTATATAAAACAGTTTTTGAACTATTAAGTACCAAAACATTTTAGTACTATATTCAATACAGTATCTTCCTGTATTACAGTTTATTAAATATTACTAACTGAGAAATGTTGAAATTCATTTCAATCTAGAGATAGCATTTTTAATTATATATATATTTATATATAGTGGGTAGGAAATCTTTGCAAACTGCTTGAAAAAAGTTTAAGATTTGTAGGAATAAGGAAAAATGTCTTTTCTTTGAAATCTTTAACTACAGAGTTTAGCTTTATTTAAAGATGTTCAGTATATTGTTAAGTTTTATTTACTCAAAACACTGAACTTGGTTCTTCTAGGGCATCTCAAACTGTCTGACTTGAATGCTTGCAAAGATATTGAGCATCTATTTGGTTTATGTATTATTGTACCAATCTTCTTGTTAAATATAAAAAAATCACAGACCCAGAAAAATTCCTACATATACACGTGAAAACCCTTTCAAGCCTTGAAAGGGTTTATTGGAAGCCTTTTGAAGTCACCATAGGAAGAGCATCAACAGGTGTTGCAAGTGGGTGAACAATATCACAAATCACAGCTGAGTGGGACTCCAAACCTTGATAAAACAAAGAACATTATTTCATTAGTCTGCAGCATTTCATGCCACTGATTTTCTGAGAATAAAGAGCCTGTCACCGTGGCTTTGGACATATGTGGCATTATTTGAAGATCTGTCATGAAATACTATTGTTTTATGAGAGCTGACATACATCAAACAGTCGATACTACAACCATCTGAAAGAGTTGTTGAGGCCGATTCTGACTCTAGAGGTCAAAGACCAAATTTGTTTAAATCAGTGGAGGGAAGCTTTCTGATGATTTACATGGAGAGGTTAGAGGAGAATTACATTTTTATAGCAGCTCTGCCCTAGGTCATGCCATGTGTTGGGTCAGGTATTAGTCTGCCTACAGAACAATAGAGCCTAAGTAACTTCCTCCTTTTCCTGTGTCTTCCAGAGAGGTCCCTGAGCCAGGGTTTGGGTTCCATCTTGTGAAATAAAGGGAGAGTGAAGGAAATCCATTGGTGAGATTTGTTCCTTTTAAGCTCAGAGCCTCCAGGTGGCTTAATTTCTAGTTCAAAAGCAGGGCATAAGAACCTCTCACTTATGTTCACCTCATGCTTTGGAAAGAATTTTACCCTGTAGCATTACTAAGGTTGAGTGGGACAAGAGGCAAGATAAACTTTATGAATTTAATGACTTGGATCTTCAAAATGTAAATTATCTTCTTAGCTGAGTACACATGTCTGAGATTTTTTTACAATCTGTAATTTTATTGGCTTATTATTTACAGCACGCTACCATTTGTTTATTCATAATAGGATGCTTTAGGAGAATTGAAAGATGATTGGAAGTGGCTACTTCCAGAGATCCAGGTAATGGGAATGGAGAAAAGTCTGGGGATATTTTAAATCTTTTTAAAAAATTAGTTTAAATGTGTTTGCCCTAATTTTTCAATTAAAAGTTAATATACAGATTTGGATGTAAAAGTAAAAGCTGAAAACAGTGACCTTAAGTCTAAAAAATATGCACTGTACAACAGGAAAATGTGTTTACCCCTTCACCCCACTTGCCTGCTGTTTAATATGCAGCGTCCTATGCAAGGCTCCATGGTGAGCCATAGACAGGACAATGCTGGCCAGAGTCTGAGTGGAGGTTTCATTCTGTTGTTTCCTTTCTCTTAATATCCATAAAAATCAGTTCTGCCTGGGATGTAGCTCAGTGGTGTTGCTGCCTGCCTTGCAAGCATTAGGTCCTGAGTTCCATCCCCAGTACCAAAAAAAAAAAAAAAAGAAAAATCAGTTCTCACCATAAGGGAATCTGGTTTTAAGGAGATACGGATTTTCTCAATGTGAAGAGTAAATTTCCTTTAAATCAGTCAAGTTAAGATGAGAGGCAGGAAAGAAACAAACCAAAAACATGTTTTCAAAAGATTGCATGTAAGAGGAAAACTAGGTCATTAAACAAATTGGAAAGTTTACTGAAATTTTCTGTTTGTTTATTTTAATGAAGAAACAAAAGTTTTAATTCCATCCTATTTTTGGATGTTACCGAACATTTGACTTGAAACTGTACTCTATTGTTTAATTTTTATGACTGTATTTTTGTTTATTGTTCACTGACCAATTTGCAACACAAATTTAGTGTTACTCTTTTTTTTGGTGAATTTACTAAATGTAGTTATCGTAGTTAGTTTTCTTGTTGCTGAGACTAAATACCTGACACCCAAACTTAAGGGAGGAAAGATTTGGCTCACAGTTTGTAGAGGTTGCAGTCAATAATCAGCTGACTCCAAGACAAGGTGATATCACAGAGGAGAACAGTACATGGCAGGCAGAAGGTAGCAAAGCAACAAGGGACCTTAACAAGAATTAGTCTTTTGTATATTCCCAATACTTGCCTTCTACTATACTTTATTCTTTCCTTTAATCCAGTACCCATCACATGTTATTTCTCTTCTGTCCAAAAAACTTTAACATCTTCTGTAATGCAGGTTTGTGCCAACAATTTTCAGTCTTTATTTTTCTTACATATTTTGTTTTTTCTTCATTTTTAGATATTTTCCTTGATATGGTATTCTTAATTGATTTTTATTTGTTACTTTCTTTCAAAATTTTAAGGAAATTTTATTGTCTTTAATGTTTATTATTTCACAAAATTCAATTGATATTATTATTTTGAATATAATATGTCTTTTTTCCTCGATGATAACAACTTGTATATAAATATTTTGGCTTCCTTTCTGTGATTCTTTTCTTGTTGGGGTTTCCCCTTTTAGTATCTATTGACTTTTACAATCCCAAGCTTTGATCTATGGTTCCTAATCCAGTGAAGCTGGCACTTTTTCTTGAGTTTTACTCCTGTTTTTGCATTCAGGACATGCCTTGGGCAGTCCTGAGGCATTCATTCAATTCAAATGTTACGGTGCCAACTGTAGCCACAAAGCACAAACACTGCCCATTAGTGGTGTAGTTGCCAAGCTACAAGGAAGACAGATCCTTCTTGTTAACAATATTCTCTCCACCAATCAAGTACTTTCTATGGAAATATATTTATAATAGTCCCAAAGAATAAATGTCAATAGAAGCTAAGATACAAGAGGACTGACTGCACAGATGAAATATGCAACTCTAGAAAGCATAAGAACTGCAAAGTAGAACTGTGAAGCAAAATAATCAATGACATAATAGAACCAGAAGTTTGCAGAAGCTATGAAATATGAGGAAGTATAAAAATGGCAGCAAAATTAATAGGGTGATAGCAGCATATGGAGCAACTTAGATCTGACTTCTAATGACACAGCTACTAGAGTATTTTGATTATTATCCTTTTTCCCCTAAAATTTACAGCGTTCAAGGAGTATGGGAGCAATTACCTATTCTTCAAAATCTTAGAGTCTGCCGAAGACACAACCATGTGTAAAGATTTATTTTTAAGTAAGGATATCCGATTTGTTTTGTATTTTAACAACCTAGTGAGAAAAATACGTAGAACTTGTGAAATAAATTTTAAATAATGATTTCAGAGAAACGTGTTTAGTTTATCTCTACTTTATGTAGCTGTTATTTTTCCTTCTATGTAAGTGGGAAATGGAATTATTAATCTAGTCAGCAAATCTTTTTCATTAACACATTAAATATCTATTTTGTGTAAAGAAAGATGACACCTTGGAACAAATTCTTAAATATTTTCATGCTGTTGAATTAGGATAGAAGAAATAAATATAGGTAGAATGGACAAAAGGAAAAAAATCAAAATTTTATAATTGCACTCTTATGGATAAAACTACAGCTTCAGTAGAAAAGTACTGGAGATTACAGTACCCTTTTCCCTTCCAAGAAACTCACTCCAAAATTCCTTATAGTCTTAAAATATGTAAAAAGCCTGGTCCTGTAAATTGAATTCATGCCTCTCACCTGTGAGTTAGGCCTGAGCATTCCACCCAAATTCAAATTCCACACATTTCTACCCCCAAGAAAACATAAATGCCCCCAGCCCCAGGACATCCTGCACACCCTTCCCTTGGGCACCCACATTATGTTTTCTCTGAGTGTGCACCTTCTAAACTCTGCCTAACAGATCTGTGTATGCCTCTCACTGACTCAGCCTGAAATGCATCCCTGTGGTGGAAGTCGGGCGACCTACTCCCTGGGTGTGGTGAGCTGAGGTGCCCATCTTCTTTTGGAAGCACTTCCTTTGGGCCCATCTGGCAACACTATAATTATTAAAATTTCGTTATGAATATTGGAAGTAATTGAAATGAGAGCTTTTCAAAAACAAGAAAAATCGCAAGTACCTACTGTACCTTTTCCTTTGTGGCCCCTGGAATTAAACTGCCTTAGGCTCAAATCCTGACTTCATTTGCTGTTATGACTATGAACTTGCACTTTTCTTTATCTTCCTGTGCCTCAGTTTCCTCATATGTAAAATGTGGATATTCACCAATTAATAACATTGCTGTGGGGATTTAGAAAGATAGCATACATCCCAACTATTAGGATAGTGCTTGACACATAGAAAGTAAAAAATGTATTTTTCAGTATTACCTGTTGTTACTATCATTTTGCAAACTAGAGTCGTATTATATCGTGTGTAGCTTAATGACAATTTCTAGTCATCATCATATACATTTTGTGACGATTTTAATGCAATTTCTGTTTCAATTTAAATTATTAATGAATAAATGCTTTTGGTCTTAAGACTTAAATAATTAATGTTCAGAACTACTTGATAAACATGCACAATTGAATATAAGAGTTTGGGATTCAAATCATGAAATGCAGTGCTTAGGATTTTTGTTATTTTTTTCCAATTCAAAAACAGATTAATGTATAAATTATGAAATTTGACAAGTGCATCTTTGTAAAAAATTCCAACATTCTATTCCACAGACATTCATTTGGTGTCTATGGAATTCTTAGTCTTGCATAAGGTGACAAGGACAAAAAAGAACTAAAGGCTAGGGCAACGAGATATGATACTCTAGATGAAAGAAAAAGAGCTGGATTTGAAGGATACACCAGAAAAGAGGGCCTGAAGTAGAGACAAGAGTTAAGAGTCCTCTCGGGCTAATGGTTCCCAGTGACTCATCGTTGTCAGTGGTCTGACATTTCTCAAGGAGAATTTGATGAGAAGCCATTCCTGTGGATTTATTTTATTCTATATATCATATATTTATCCAGCATTCTTGGTTTTTAGAAAATATTTTAAGTATTTAATATTATCTGACTTAATATTCATAAAAACACTGAAATAGGTACTATGGTTACTAAGTAACTTGTCTTGGGTCAAATGATTACTAACTGCCAAAGCAGGCACTTTTCTCCAAGTAGTCAGAATGCAGAATTCTTGTTCTCATTCGTTATACTATCCAGCTTCCCTGTAAATTGGACTTTTCTGATCTTAATATTATAATAAAATAGCCACCCTGTATTGAACATCCAATATGTGCCAAGCAAATATTTTACATAATCCTCACAAAATAATTTGAAGCATTCAAGATGAATTAAAATTCACAGGTTGTAAAGAATGAATATAAGTTCAACTAATTTCAATCGTAGGCTTTTTTAAAAAAAGCTTATGGGTAGCAGCACATGCTGCAGAAAGCTGTTCCAATATTTAATAAATTTTCAGAAAACTGGAATTTTTTATATTCACCAAATTCTGTGAGCAAACACTATCCATTTTAGAGCTAAGAATATTGATATTCTGTGATTTATACAAAGTGACATCTGGCTTAAGAAACGATTTTTTTTATCATTACTCATCCAGCCCACTTCCTCTTAAGCAATGTATTTATCCAGTTTTGTCTCCATATGCCATGACAGATAGCAGCAGAGTTCATAAAGCATCTATAAGGTACAGTGAGAAGATTAAAACCATTGGTTAAGTAGGAGCTCACTTGTAATTCTGTCTGTAACAAATAGCTATGTCGCCTTTGCCTACATCTGCTACCCCATTAAAAGTCTAATCAATTCTCAGAAGCCAGTCCTGCTGAAAATGCTATGGTATTTTTCTTTTGCTTACCAAATAAAGCCTAAATTTTTTTCCATTTGGAGCTCTTCATAAAGTGTTTTCCAAGTACATTTCCTGGTTTATGACCCATTGCTTTCCATTCTGTGTGATCACTCAAACTTTATTTATTCATATTAACGATTCCTATTGAAATATAAATTGCATTAAAATTGTAAGTCACAGAATGAACATGAGTAATCATAATAATGGTTAGAAATGGATAGGAAGTTGCATACAATGAAATAGATAACTAGTTTGCAAAAAAGATAATTAAGACAAAATTAATAACATTTTTGTTCTTTATCTGTCAAGCACTATTCTAGTGTATTGGAACACAAATCATTTTTTCATAGTTTGCTATTTCCTTTTTATATTTTCCAAATGCATCCAACATTTAATCATTTGCAGCTTCTTTTTTAAAATATTTTCCACAATACTCTGCTGTACATTTTTCAAGACTCAACTCAAATTGCCCTTCCTTTATAAGAGATGTGATCACAAAATATGGTGAATATCTAAGCAAAGATTAAAAAATATTACAGTAATTAGGTCTCATTCTAGAGAAGCAAATGTCCCTTTGGATCTTCTACATAGGGAAATCAATAAATTTAATACACTGAATCAGCCGAAGAAAGTACACAATATAGCACTTGAAACATTAGCCAGAGTAATCAAGCAAGAGAAAGAAAAGGAAAGGAAAGAGTCAAATTGTCATTACTTGCAGATGACATGGTCTCAAAATATTGCACCAAAAGATTCCTAGAATTAATAACCAATTCCTGCAATGTAGCAGGATACAAAATCAACACACAAAAATCAGCAGCATTCTTGTACACCAATAATAAATTTACTGAGAAAGAAATTAGGCAAGCAGTATCACTCTCAAGAACATTAAAGAAAAGTTAAATACTTAGGAGTTAACCTAACCAAGGAAATGAAAGAGTTCTACTAGAAAAACTACACTGCTTTGATGAAGGAGATCAAAGAGGACGTCAGAAATTAGAAAGATATCCTCTGTTCCTGGAGAGGCAGAACCAAAATTGTCAAAATGGCCATATTTCCAAAACTAGTACATAGATTTAATACAATTCCAATTAAAATACCAACAGCATTCCTCAGAGTACTAGAGAAAATTATCTAAAATTCATATGGAACTGGAAGAGGCCCACAACAGCTAAAGCAATCCTGAGCAATAAGAGCAAAACAGGAAGCATCAAAATCCCAGATTTCAAGTTACATTACAAATTTACAATGAAAAAAAAAAACAAAACAGCAAAACAGCATGGTTCTGACACAGAAACAGTTATATAGATCAATAGAACAGAACACAGGGTAAAAAAAACCCAGACACATTCAGCCACCTGATCTTTGACAAAGGCTCCAAAAATACATGCAGGGGGTATGCTTGTCTCTTTAGCAAATGATGCTGGGAAAACTGGCTATCGCTATTTAGAAAATTGAATCAAGATCCATATCTCAAGCCAGGGATTTAGCTCAGTGGTTCCGCCGCCTGCCTTGCAAGCCCAAGGACCGAGTTCAATCCCTGGCACCAAAAAAAAAAAAAAAA